TATCAGCTAGCTAAAGCCCATCCTTTCCATCAGCTGAGTAACTGTCTCTTTGGGTGACACAGGCCATCAGCTGGTGTACAGCCACCGGCAAAATACCAGCGCGGAGGCGCTCTAGTGCCCTAGGGATGCTGACAGCCAGGAGCCTTGGGCTCGGACCCTGATGCACCCGCTCCGCTGCTGACACAGCTTTGGCACTGGCCAAAGCAGCCAGGTGCCTAAAGCCCCAGAGATGCAGCGGCGTGGGCAGCTGCGTGGTGACGGAGTGCCGGAGGCTAACCTTGCTGGTGCTGGCATGGCCTAATAGCTGATAGGGTTAATGTGTGCAAGATAAAATGGTCTTCAAGGTGATTGAGTGCCACAGAGTCTCTTCATAGACAATAAAATGGATGTCAGACAGGTTAGTAAAACTCTTCTGGGAAAAGGGAGCTTTTTTTAACCTAGAATAGACCCAAAGAAATTAACATTTATACAGTCGTTAAAATATAAATAGCTCAACATCCGAGATGATAAGTATATCTGAGCTCCTCATTCTAGCTGGCTTCATTTGAATAGTTACTCAAATATTAGATTTGAGATATACATACACACAGATGTAAGGAAGAATAAAATGTTTAGATTTTACTGTTTTATGTGCTAGATACCCTATATCTGATACCATTTTATAAGCAGGTTCTTCCTAGGGAAGTTCTAGATGCTAGAATGGGTAAACTTTAGTTTCAAGTCTTCCAATATATTCAGGACACTGAGTTAGAATGAAGTAGTCTGTTGGGGTTTTTCTGCTGTAATTGGTACCTGTTTTATCGTAGGAAGAATGAAAAATGTTGCTAAGAAAATTATTTCTGAAGTTTATGCTTAACATAGAAGAGACATTATCAGTAAATCATACTTTATATTTGCCCCATAGAGGTAGTATGCTGGGAGGCAATATTTTGTACTTAAAGATGAACCAAAACTTATTTTAAAAAAACGGAACAAATAACAAACCAAACAAACAACCCAACTCCCCCCCATGACTTTGGAAACTCTTATTTTTGTATATTCATGTTTAGATACAGAAACAGTTTCACGTAACTAGCTGATGTGCTCTTTTTGAATCAAATTTCTAGAGTTACAAAGTTGAGTTGTTAAAGATGGAGGTCGCTTCTGAAAATTGTGGAGAAGAAAACCTTCTTTGTGCTCTGTTCATTCAAACATTCCAATTACTTAAACCAGACTTATGGTAATTAGATAAATTATTCTGTAAGGTGAGGGCCACCAACTTTCTGAAGTCACGGCAGAATGTTTTTCTTTCCCAAGTTAGAAGTCAAATGTTCTAGTAGAAACTCAGCAGGAGTGAAGAGGCTTTCAGAGCATCTACTAATGAAACTAGTCAAGGCTTTCAGATTCACATCTGTTTTTTCTTTGTTGGTGACAAATTTTATTTTGGTAAAAGAGGGCTTGACTATAGTCAAAAGGATACAAAGTCGTAATACTACTTCTGAAGTAAAAGAGAACATGATAGAACTTGCACTATTTTCTCCTAAATTGGTTCGCTATACCAGCATGGCCACTGGCTTAGAGTTTCTGTAAAATAGTCTATCTTCTGAAAAATACCTGGAGTTGTAACCTAATCGTACCGTTGTGAAGAAAATCTGTCTCAACAGAGCGTTTTTTGCAAAGTTTTCTTGTAAGCATTGTAGCATATTTTTATTAGCTTGAAGGACATAAAGCTGTGTTCTTCTTTGGTTACTAGGGCAACAAAGAAGTCTCTGCTTGGTACTAGACACACAAATTCTCTTCAGGCTGTGCAATATCATGTAAACTCTGGTATCTATCTGCCTTAGCTTCTACACAGGGATTGATGAGAGAGCAGAAATGTATGCCAGGTTGTTTGCCTCTTAATCCCATTTTTTTATTTTATTTTTTCTTAAGTTTTAAGTGACCTGAAGCTAGGCTCATTGCAAAAGGTCAAATTCTTTAAAAAGTAAATAAATAAAAGCCACTGTGGAAATGCAGTTCATACTCATACGTAATGCTCGATTCTGCAGACCAGATAGAGGCAATCAAATTGTCAGAGGTGAATTTTGTGATCCAGGCTTGCATGTGTTTTCAGAGGCTAAATCTGGGTAGTGCTGAAAGTCAGCAACTCTGACTTCTTGGAGTAGGAAGGCTCTTACCTTGACACAGAGGAGAAGCTGTTGCTTTTTGTGTGGTTCTGACTGGACGGCACGGCACGACACGACACGATCGTTCCCGAACTCTAATCCTTTGGAAGCAGGTGATGCTGCTAAGAAGGTTTTGAATTAATTGTTAGGCCTATTCTTGAAGACTGTAAAAGTGTAATTTTAATGAGCTAGAGAAAATCCTATTACAGTAGTTTAAATAAGTTTTGCAGTGGGATTTCTATCAGTGATTATAAATTGGTTGAAGGAATATGAGTGTTCATTTTGAAAAGTGAAATAATACCTTACAGGACTGTAGTCTTCTGACCCTTTTAAAATGCATATGCATTTGACTATTTTTGCTAGCCAAAGTTTTTACTTTGTGTATCCACTAAAAAGTTTTGCTTTCTATAGTTTAAATAAACAAGGATAGAGAGATTGAAGTTGTCATTAACTTATGCTTGAGCTTTAGTTAATTCTGTAAAATCTGGTTAATTCACTTTGCTTTCATAATGCTAGGATATATGTCTATCTTGAGTCCTGTAAGTATGATTATCAGTTCCTCTACATAAATAAATAGCTATAAATATTTGTATAGCTTTGGCATTTGTTTTTCAGTCCATTTTCTATGGAAACGAGCATTATGCAACTCAGTTGTCTGCTTGTCTCATCTTCCTCCATTACCTGTCAGTAAGTTTTGAATTCTGTGGCAAAGTTAAACTAAATTCAATGCTGGGACAAGTTCCCAAAGAGGTTGTGGAAGGTGTGTCCTTGGATGTTTTCAAGACTGAAGTGTACATGGCCCTGAGCAAACTGGTTGAGATCTCCTGGTTGACCTTGCTCTGAGCAGGGGGTTGGACTAGAGACCTCCCGAGGTCCCTTCCTGCCCCAGTGGTTCTGTGGTTCGAAGTCTGGAACGAGTTAGAAATCTAAATAATGATTAAGTTCTGTCTGAATTGTTGGTGGGAAAGAGACCCTGTCAGTGCTATAGTTGTGGAAAAATCTGTGGCATGTGCTCAACCCTAATTATGGACTGGAGAATGACAAGGGGAAGAGCTGTAGGCAGAAGGAAGAACTAGAGCTTTAGATATCAGCATTGACCAAATCTATAAGAAACTAGACGTACCATTGTCCTCATAAATTACTTGCCAGACTCTGTGCTTTGTAGAAGGAGCACATTGGATGCTGCTTCAGCTTTTCCAAATGGAATATTAACAATATATTTGTCTCAAAGATTTTTCTTTAACCCAGCTACAGGCCTAAACTTTGATACATCTGAATTGGTACAAATCTGTTTGGTCACTTTCCTTCTCCTCCCCCACCTTTTTCAGTGCTTCCTTGTGCAGTAGGTTTATGGTATATTTTAAAATATTACAGTAATTCACCTAAAGGTTTGTATGTCAAGAGATATGCTTCTGAGAGAAACTTCTTGTGACAAAGCATGTATTGATAGATAAATGGTAATGCATATTAGGGCCACTGTTAAGTTCTTTGAACACAACAATGTAATAAATTAAAAATATGAAATGATTAGAGTCTGTAGATTTGCTGTATGATGTGCAAGAGGCTTATTTCTTTTAATAGGTATCTAGATTTTTCCTTGCCTTTGCAAAGGGACCTATTCAATCCCACGTCATCAGAACTAGGCAGGTTTTTTGACCTTGTAGAAGTTTTGTATGGAGAAGAAAGGAGGAGGAGAAATCCCTCAATGTCAGCGTATATTTTAAGATATTGTGCAGTTTCTGCTCAAGCCGGTGGAGTTGAAGTGAGGTAACAACCTTGGCTTTGTCCTCCATGGTGGTGTTCTTGCTTCTGGTCTGAGGCATGCCTAATCCAATAGCTTCACTCTCTCTGCTGGCAAGCTTGATGTTGGTGCAGAATCTGCTCTAACGTATCTGTTCTCAATACCTGTAAAGAAAGCGTGGAAGATTTGTGGTGTTTCATAGCCTACTGCTGAGAATAGCTGGGATGTGGGTTGTTTTTCTCTTGAAGAGCAACCAAAACTGCTAATGCATCCTTCAGGATGTTCATGTTGCCTCCATTGCTAAGGATGGAAGACCTCAGAAGTGTTTACGTGCCGTAGGCGTTCAGAGGTTAAATCTGATGACTGTTGTTTTCTTCAGATGGAGAACAGAGCTCAAGGGACTTGCTAGGAATCGTGCAGGAAGTCAGTAGCGGGGTATGGAACTGAACCCACATCTCTTAAATCACATGTCAGCACCCCTCTTGGTTGATGTTTAAGGTGTTTTCTGCAAGGTACCGGAGGATAAAGTTTAGTTATAAGTGGTTATGTCTGAAAAAAACAGTCATTTTAAAGAATTGTCTTTTTTTAAGACTTTAAAATACAAATAAAAGATAGATGGTAGTCTCTTTAATTTTAGTATCTTCCATATGTTCTACATTTGGTAGGTACTGAAAACCTGGACATATCCAGTCATGCTCATTGTATTGGAATAAACATTAATATATTAGCATGGCATGTGGCTTAAAAAATATTTAAGGTCAGAAAACAAATATGGTCATTAAGAATAATTTTCAATTATGGACCCAAAGTTTAAATACTTAAATATGAGGTCTAATTTTCAAGATGTTGAGCCATTCCTACAGCTAGTAGCAGGAATTTTCGAAAAATTAGATGCTCAGCTTTAGTGGCTAGAAATTTTGAGCAAGAACTTTGTATTTGACCAACCATACTGTGCCTCATAATCTGTTCATAGTTTTCTTGACAACTAGACTTCTTTCAATGCGAACTGAGTTTAGAGGCAGTAACTAAGTGAAATCGATCCACCTGTGAGAATCTCAGATTGTAGGACAATTCTGATTTTCCTGTTGCTTTTAGAAACAAGAGAATTAGTCATGATGGAAAAAGTCAGGTAAAACACTTGCCTTGCATTTTATATAGAATTGAAACTTGTGGTTATTGCTTCTTAAACTATACCAAGGAATAGGAATTTCTCATTGAAAAGGAATTTCTTATTTGAAAATTCCAGTGTTTCTAAGTTGCTAAATGTGGCCAGCACTTCAGGATTTCAACAAGATGATGTTGATGCTCGATTGTATAAGGCAAGAATTTTGATTGGCATAGAGAGGGGAACTCAAGGATTAAAATATTGTTTGGATATGCTCACAGCAAACCTGCTGCTAAGCAGGTAGGTGTTATATATCACTTAGAGTCTTCTCAGCCTTGATAATAGACTTCAGTGTTAGATATGAATTGTAATGATAGATACTAGGGAGAGGTGTCCTGTTTAAGGTGAAAGCTAACCTCTTGTTTGCAAAGGCTTCTGAGCATCTGAAATGGCAGTGGATGAGAACTGTTGTTACTCCTGTCATAGGCTCCTTGTTGTCATCCCCAGCACTCAAAGTGCTGTTTGCCTGTGACTTCCTATGCCAGCCCTGTACTGCGAGGGGAACTGGTAACGTCATTGGACGTAGCTTAAACGTGCATGGAGCTCTGCAAACTTGCTGAGAAAAGGTCTCCCTAAGATCTTGATGATCAGGGATTTTTCTTTAGAACTTTCCTTTAGTGAATAGTGAACTCTTCTCCCATAGGGCATGTTGGCAGGCCATTGAATTTTCAGGTATACTTGCTGTTTTACCATTTAAGGAGGTGACAGAGCTGAAGATAGGCTTTATCTACAGTGACTTGCAGAAGCAGGTTGAACATATGGAAGGAGTTTATCGTTGTTCTAGTTGTCCCATGAGATCTTAGATGTGGAAAATCCTCTATAGATAAGAATTTCTCTCTGAGGTGATTGGAAATAACCTGGAAAGTTCTTTAGTATCCTTCATGCAGAAATTATATGCATCATCCTGTTGCTTCTGTTGCAGCAAAGGAATGTAGGCTTACTAGATAGCCTTTGAGTATGTGTATTGGATAGTACCATGCACCATTCTTGTCTCTTGGAAGGTCTCAGCTGTAAGCTGCCTAGAAATAATGTGTTCAAGTGCTTTGGCTGAAAAGTGCTTGTAGTAACAGTTGGGAAGCAAATATGTATAGTGCTTCGTTACATTGGGTTTTGTTGTTGCTTCTTGGGCTTTTGCTTGGAAGAGAACTATTTCCTCTAATTACTTACAAGCACAGTACCAAGGGTGAGCCTGCCAAACAATTTCAGCAAAACTGGCATTGGTTGAGACGTTTCCTAGACCTTGAAACCAAACTGGAAAGTGTAAACTGACTATAACAACCACAGAACTGAATTGGCTTTCAAGTGTTTTATTTAAGTTGAGGTGATTATTTCCAGAAAGTTTCACGTACAGGAACAAAGATCGTTTCTGAAGCCTCCTCAAAAGCGATATGGTGTGGTGGTTATTTATTATTCTAATATTATTCTTTTGAGTTGTTTTACAATTATTATTTAATTTGCTGTCCTATGAGTAAGTACAATTATCCTGACTTTATACACCTCGGTCTATCCATCTGAAGAATTTGTTCCCCAAAGGCTATATAAGGAGTTCATGTCAAAGCCTAGAATAAAATGTTAGATCCCCAGTCCTGCAATTAGGCCATACACTGTTCTTTATAGCAAAATAATTCATGACTCAGCCACCTAATTGCAGTGGGACTTCCCATAAGCTCTTTAACGTCTACTCATTTATAAAAATGATATTAAGACTTTTTTTAGTTGGGAGTTGTTGCTTAAGTAATTAAATCCTTACACAATATAGCTTACAAAACTGAATACTAAATGCAATTAATTGGTAAACTGGAATGACTTGCTTGCATCAGAATGGTGGGGGGGTTTACAGTTGTTCTGTATGGATTTACCTGAGAAACTCTAATAATTTCCATTAGAGAGCAAAGTGCTCAAACTTTGCAGAAACCTACTTATTTTTAGAATTAAATATCTATCTCCTGACACATTCTATACATGTACACAGGTATAGGCACATCTTCATTGGTTTATATTTGCAGGATTCCATGGAAAAAGATATAGCTCTGCTGACTGAGCCCCTGCTGTTGATTTAACTCATAACATTAAAATTTTTAAAGCTACCAAAATACAAGGAATCAGGGTTTGGAAAAAGTGAAATGTCCTCTCTGCCTAAATTTCTTAAGACAAGGTAGTAATTGCTTTAGAAGTACGTATGTATTTTTCCTGCTGCTTTGGTTCAAGAACTGGAAGCTTTCAACAAAAGGTTAAGATTGTTTGTTTTCCCCTTGACAATTCTGTGGTCTTGCTTCCTCTCCTCCTGATGTTTGAGAGGCTCAGAATCAGACTGGGAACACTGTGTGTCTTTTATCCTCTGAAGCTGATGTGAGTTTTAACTATCGAGGATTCTGCATTAAACATCCAAGGGACTGTGTGAAAGGGATAAGAAAAGGTCTTGATAGTTACATTTGGAATATGTTCTTTCTTTAGATGAGGAAGCTTCTAGTTCAAGTTATGGCAGATTTTACTGCAGGCAATCAAAGTTTGCAAGTTATGTTACAAAGTAATGTTTAGTAATATTTTTATGTATGAATTTGTAAACAATCTAATAGATTTAACTGTTATTTTTGATACTTTAGTTCATATTACTCAGAATTCTTTTACTGTGTATTTTGGCAGGGTTCTTACCACGAATTTTTTTGTAAGTCTAAAATGAAGAATAATTATTTTTACTGACCTTCTGATCTTATTTACATCATCATTGTCCCTAATATCTTTATCCCTTAAATTACTTTCCTTTTTGAAATACTATCAAAAATGCCAGAAATACATTTAAAAAAAAAAGCAGGGAAGACACCTTGCATGTAGAAGAAGGTAATAAAGGTGGCTTAGTACTGGAGACTCCTTTTGATGATTAGGAATTGTTCTCATGGATAGATACCTTTACATTTCAGTTGTCCCAGTACTTAACATGTAAAGCTAGAAATCATACATCTTTCCATAAACTTTAACAGCACTTAAGGTAGTTATAAAAAATAGCCTTTAAGAACACACATGTTTTTTCATCTTAATTTGTTTTTATTATACAGAAAGTTTCTGCATTTTCGTTGAATATATTTGGCTAACATAGGAAGCTCAGGCAAAAATCCTAGAAAAGATGCAACGTTTCCAGAATGAAATTAGAAAGCAGGAACCCATTTGAACTTTTTAATGTCTTCTCCTGTACGCTCCCAGTTTAGGGGTACTGGGCAATCTCTAGCACAGTTTAAGGGAATCAGATCAGTTTACTAGACTTAGTGTACATAATTTTTTTTTAATTCTTACTTTTTTATTCTTCATTTTTATTATATGATCACTGCACATCGTCTTTGTTTTTATCTTAATCCAATGACAGCTCTAACGAGAAATCTGAAAAGTACCTTGTAAAAGAGATTCAGATGTGATGTCAGGTACCACCCATGTTTCTCTCTCTCTGAGTAAGATTGGAGGTAGAAAAAATGGGAGGTAAAAATCTCTGAAGATCACTTACATACCATACATCTTGAGGCTTTCTAAATGTGTTAAGCTGTTATTCAAAGTATACATATTAATCTAAACAGAAATGTGGATGATGTATGTGCCATGTGAGGTAAGATAAAATGTAGAAACTGTTTATCGCTGTGTGGTCAGTGGTGCATAGCTGGGCCATATAAAACATTTAAAGTCCATGTATTTATTGATTCCATGTGGCTATGGTGTCCATCCCCAGGAAAACTGAGGGATTTACTGTGGCCTGTTGATCCCAGAGGCTCATTAAAGATGGATAATAGGGTGGGTTTTAGCATTGAATTAGTTATCTGGGACTGGGAAATACATGCTGGTTGTCTTTTATGGAGCAACGACTGTATCTTGCCAGTAGTGATATCCTAGATATGATGATGTTTGACTCTGCACCAGTGTCTTTCATGGGGCTATAAATGACTGCAGTCGTGTTATCTCTTCAGGAGTTGCCACTGCTTAGTATCTGTCATATTGGAGCCTAAGATAGCGAGATCATTTAAACAGGGTGAAGTACCTTGTTCTTTAAACGTGTTCTGCAAACACGTGTAATTGGTCTTGCAAAAATTTGTTCCTGAAGAGGTCTTGAAAAGTCAAGCCTTCCCGTGCTGCATTTGAGTATATTTCTTACAGGCTCTGCTATGATGTTTGCCCTAGAATACATACTGTGCTGCACTGATACAGAGGAAACTGGCAGCAGTTCTCACTTTCAGGTGGCCCTCATGCTTTTCATTAGGAATGGTGAGTGCTGCTCAAAGCTTTTCAGCAGTCCTGAGAAAATTGGGGTTTCCTGTTCCAGGAACGAGGAGCAGAACTGTGCCACTTCCCCAGCGCTAAGGGGACAGGCAGGGGCAGATGGGCTGCACTGAAAGGCAAGACCTCTGCCCAGCTCCCATAGTGGGCTGAGCTGCCCTCTCACGCATCCTGCGATGGCAGCAGTAGTCTGTCTTTTCAAGGCTCTGGTATAGGTGGTGGGGTTTTAGCTTCTTTTCCTCTGCTAAAAGTATTTGTGAGTAGGTGAGATCCTACTTGAAGCTTTTGGAAGGATTTGGGAATTCCTGGGTTTGATTTTGATTTTTTTTTTTTTTTTTTTTGGTGGTTGTATGGAAGGGTTCTGCATTGCTGCTTGCGCATTGCAAGGCGGCTCTTTTTCTCCTTTGTAAAGAAGCTATTTTCCTGTTGCATCACTGAAATTCAACAGGGTGAAAAGCCTGTGGGGAAGAGATGTTCTTCTTCCTTTCAAATTTCATTAGAATCGTGTAATTCTGCCACATCTGAGAAATCACCCTGTCCCATTGCGGGCCTGTGCTGCTGCACACCACCTCCGTGGTGGGTGTGCTAACATCTGGCCAGCCCGAAGCTCTGTGAATCGCAAGTGGAGCCTCCAGGGGCCAACAGAAGTCACCTCCACCAAGATCAGCAGCCGTGGTAAAGAGAGCGTTGAACCAGGGATCTCCCCCATACTCATCAGAAATAAATTTGCCCAGGATGCTAAGTGAGGCAGGAAATTCTGGCAGTGTTGGGAGGTAAAGGGTGGAGAGCCAGCTTGAACTTCAGAGCTTGTAGAGCTTGATTTAGTTGAGAGCTAGGGCTTCCATGGTGTGTTACCAGAACCCAAAAGCTGGGAAGTACAGTGCAGAGACCCTTAGGGACTTCTGAATGAAGACAAGCAGGGGCTGGAACCACTACATGGAACCACGTAGTTTCTGTAAAGGCCTATTAGTTCAGACACAGTCAATCCATCATCATATTTGGAGAATACAACACGCAGACATCTGGTCTGGCTCTCCCATACTCAGCTTGGGTCTGGCAGGACTGAACTGGAGCTCATAAGCCCATACTGGAGCCAGTCTTCTGCTCAGTATCCATGGACTGTTTTCCCATTATTTGCCATATTGCAACCTCCATTAGTCTAGATAATGGATACTGACTTTTCTATGTAGAAAGAAAAATTGTGTGATTATATATATGTGTGTGTATATATTATATACAGTTTTTATATATATTATAGGCAGGCATAAGTGTATATATATTTTTATATATTTTATATTTATATATATAAAATATATATAAAGTCACACAGAATATACATATATAAAAGGCTTTTCTCTCTAAAGCTGACTACTCAAAATTTAAGTAATACAAGGATGTATTTTGCAAGAGCAACTTTATTTTTGCCCTGTGAGGAGGTATTTAATAAGATGACATAATGAGAGTTTTGCAGAAACACTTTCTTACACAATTTAATGTTGTAAAGTGGTTATTGGACGAATCTGGATTGTAAGGTGAATAAGGCATTGACTGTAGGAGTCCTACCCGATTTTATGTAGTGAAAGTAGGTAGTGAATAGGGTAAATGCAAACCGCAAAAGCAATACAGAAAAAGTGCTTCTATCTGCTCCACCTAATAGTTCCTACATGGTCCTGTGCAAATACATTAAATTAGACTTTTCATATCTATCCTGTCAGCTCATCAGTTCTTCTTTTTGTTCTGCAGTATGAAACTTCACTATTTCCATCGCTCCATTTCCCAGGTGTTGAGTGCTCGTAGTAAATAGATCCTCAGATACTTAGTTGCCCAGCTTTTCTAGGGTTCCTAAACCTTTTTAAGCACTTGAATATTTCAGTGGAACTGGCTATAAATCTGCAACAGGTGTGGGGGTTTCTTTCCTCCTATGTTTCTCAACAATTAGAGTGATCTTGCAGAACGAGAAGTGGTGATCTCGTGTTTTAATTCTGGCTCATCTACTTCTCCACTGAATGCTTCTCAAGTGGCTGCTTTGAATTTCTCAATTTTTCCCACTGGTAAAATTGAGAAGATACAGAATACCTGGAGGAGCTGGCGGGGGGAAGTTTGGGGCCTTCAGATATCAAGAAATGCAGTGAAGGTGTACCCGATTCCACTGTCAGGGTTTTTAATGCTGTACAGCAAATACAATAGGACACATGCATCTGAATAATAAAGATAAAAAGAAATACTGAATTGCCGTCTTATCTGTTGAATGCTATCCATCTTATGTAATTAAAGACTGTGCTATCATGTGTTTAAACGCGGGAGGACAGATTTCAAGACGCTTGTGTGTATTTTGGTACTTAATGGCAGCTTAGCTCTTGCAAGAGTTCCAAAGGTATCATTGTGCTAAATACTGTATATCCACAGAGTAACAAATGGATTGTGTCTCTTCAGATGGTAAAAGAGGATAGGATAAATGGTGAAAGTGAGGGGAATTCCCTACAATTATTGACCACAGTCCTAGACTGTGGATTAAATGACATTCCCGTACTTGGCAAAGAGACATAACAAAGTTTAGAATTTCAGCTGCATCTTATGACATAGTGGGACCAATTTTTGATACTGCTGTGGTGGTGTAAGATTTGCTGAGGTGGTTTGAGAAGTTACTGCCCTTTTATCCTTTCTGACTCTGTGGGAGCCCACCGTCCCTGGTGGACAGCCGACAGGAACACATAGGTTCCCTGTTCCAGTCTTGACAGCTGAGTTTCATCATGGCTGGTAGGTTAGACCAAGCTGCTGGATGTTTCCCTCAACCAGCTGAGGGAGGCATGAGGC